ATAGTTTCTTGTTGAATCCAGTGTAACATTTAAGGAAAAGTTCATGCCAACTTTTTTTACACTCATCCAAAGATAGAGAAAGCGTGGAAGCAGAAGTAATATAATAACTTTCCAGCTTATTCTAAGGATTCAATATCATCCTGACACCCAAACCAGATAATAGCATCATAAGAAAAGAAAACTATAAACCAACTTCCTATTTAATTTGTGTGGCCCTCTTTGATGCCACCCACACCCTCTGCCACCCATGAATCCACGTATCTACCATTGTGACGTTCATTGGGTTCATTCACTGAAAAGCCTCTGTCCAGGCCACCACAGCTGCAACTGCCCTGCAGTCCCACGTGCTCTGTGATTTCCACCTGCAACGAGACACCCCTTGAGCTTTTCTTCTCTCGTTACCAGTGGGGATCGTCTCCCCTCTGTTCCTGTCCCATCCCTACCTTTCCCCCAGGACTTTTAATTTTTGAGTGTTTGTGACAAGGAATGGAGAAACAAGGAAAGAAAACTCAGAGCCTGGAGTCACGAAGACCTGTACACTGGAGCAGGAGTGAGATAAGGAAGGAGAGGAGGGAGACACTGTCCCTGCAGAAGGGGAGCGTCTGAGGTCTGGGCCATGTGTGAGGAGTGGCTTTCAAGCAGGCATTAGCAGAGCTCTGTGGTTTAAATAAACAGACGTGAGGGGACAAGGAGGTGGTGGAGGGATGGATGGATGGAAGCATCCCTGGAAGAGGAGGGTCTACTCTGTGAGGCATCAAAGTGTTCTCTCTTGATGTGCAGAGCCTTGCTTGCTCTGGGTTGGCAGTTCAGAATGGTGATACACACAGGCACGGCGATCTCCAACACTCCCCTAAGCAGCCTTTCTTGTGTTAGTAAAAGTTGTCATATATGTCAAACCATATACCCAAAGCATTCTATTGTGTATCTATGCACATTTGGGCTTCCTCACGTGAATCTACCTTCTCTACCAGGTAAAACCACTGAAATGATTTATGCAAATACAGCACTATGGGTGTTTTTTTAGAAAGAAGCTCCCTGAGTTTCATCATAGACCAGGAGGTGTGCACACACATGTTGCTTCATGCCCACAGAAGCTTCAGCCATGTGCTGAGCTAGGAAAATCTCTCAGACATCTTTCATCTGTGCTTTTGCAGGGACCATGGGTTTGTAGACAAAGGGTTATTTTCATGTCTGTCTTCATCATTATTATTGTAAGAAATTAATATCACCCGCCTTATCTAGGAATGCTTCGAGGGTCTTGACCTGACCCGAACCATGAACCCCAACTCAACTGAACCACATTGATTTGCAAAGCTGCCTGCTGAAATTGAACCCACATAGTAATTGGAGCTGAAATGCACACTGAGATGTCTTCGAAAACTGGACTTGGCCTGATGTTATTTTGAAAGGTAATTAAGGTTTGTAAGAATGACTCTGACGGGTCGGTCATCAGAGGTCTGCACGTAACATGAGTCGAAGCACATGCAGTGTGACCAAAATAATTAAAGAAGAGAAAAACCACCCTAGACCCTAACGTGACTGCGCTATCGGCTTTCAAACTGCTGCCTGCAAGAGAAGCAGCGCAGGGCCGCATGCAGCCTTCGCTATCTGCATTTGATCTCTGGAACAGGGGAGGGATGTTACTTGGAGCCCAGCTCCTAGAGAGTCAGCCTCGGGCTTGGGAGGGCCATGGGATCACAAGGAGCAGAGTCCTAGGCTTGGTGGCCGCTCTTGTGGGCAGCAGGATGGGAGAAGAGAGAAGATTGTTTATAATGGAGTGAGGGGGCACCTCCCACGTTCAGCAAACAGATGATTTTTTTTTTTAAAGTTGGTAGAAAAGAAACAATGCCAGCTCCTCAGAGAACCCTTCTCCTGCATCTGTGTTAGTCTTTAATTGGGACCTTGGCTTGCTTGAGTCCCTCCACTTTGGCACACAGTTGATGATTTAGAATTTAAACTTGTCAATCATCCAGGTCAGGGGTGGGTTTGGTAGGTAGGACAAAGAAAAGGAAAAGATAGCCCCTAGTTGCTACCTGAGGACTTAGCTGTCTGTGCACCTGTCCCACTGAGCAGACTGAGGCCTTTGCATGAACCATGACCCTGCCATGTAAATGCTGCTGGGCAGAGCTCAGCAGTGGATGAACACATGAAGGAATAAGACCCTGGGGATGTGAGGAAGAGAGAAATGAGTGGGGTTGGGTCATCGAGTTTTTACCTAATCATGAAGGCCGCATGTAGCAACAGCTAACCCATTCTATACCAGTGCTATTGTGGAGGGAGCAAAGAGAGAATTTATTTTGGATAGATGGGGCAGGATTGACTGCCTGCTGATGGTCAGTGACACTCAGGACCAGTAGCTGACACACACCCGCCAGTTTCTCATGGTCCCCCTCCAACTGTGAAATGAAAACAATGGGCATGGGCTTGACCTTGTCAGGGGGACCAGGGAAGAAAGTAAGCATGTGTCTATTGTCAATTTTTACAAGTATTTTTTTAAATCTTTGGACAAAAGAATAGAAAGAAAATACAGTAGAAGCAGTGAGCCAAACAGCTCAAATAAGTAAGTGTGTGTGTGTGTGTGTGTGTGTGTGTGTGTGTGTGTGTGTTAGCTAACCACTTGAAGATGGTTGCCCCTTATCTGTAGCTTCATGCTCTAGCTGACAGCCCCCCCACACCACATAACCCATGTTTCTGTTCCGAGAAGGAGTAGCCATATCTATACCAAAGATTCAAAACATTCCCCTACTCTAGCATTCAAGAATGTCACAAGTTCCAGGCTGTCCTAGGCTACACAGCCAAGACCCTATCTCAAAAAAGAGAAAAAGAACAAACCAGCAAATAAATCTTGGCATCACACAAAGAGGAAGTCTCTACAAGATGAGTGTGATGGATTGACTTGATTGTCATGTTGACAAGATTCAGGACCACCTGGAGACACACCTCTTGATGAGTCTGTGAGGGTGCTTTCAGAGCAATTTAACTGAGGGAAGACCCACCCTGAGTGTGAGCATCACCACCATGTGGTCTGGGGGCCCAGACTGAATACAAAGGAGAAAGTGAGCTGGGCACCAGTGTTCATCTCTCTCTGCTTCCTGACTGTGGACGTGCCGTGTGACCAGCTGTCTCCTGCTGCCATGAGGAACTGAATCCTTGAACTGTGGACCAGAAGAAACACATCCTTCTTTCAGCTGCTCTTGCCAGGTACTTGCCACAGAAAATTGGTCCTGAGAACTGAGGCCATCGCTGAGATAAACCTGACTCTGTGGTTTGTAGGCCTTTGGAACTTGTTTTGGGGGGCAATGAAGAAGAGTTTGGATGGATAAAGGTAGAGAAACCTGTAAAAGGAGCTTATGGAGAAATTCTCACAGGGTGTGGATGGCAAGACCGGCAACAGAGAGCTCAACAAAGATCATGCTGATGGGTTCTGAGGCAACAGAACAAGGACTGAGTTGGGAAATGGGCTAGAGTCCAGTTATGTTACATTCTGGCAAAACAAACACAAAAACAATGAAACAAGCACAATTGGCTTCTCTCTGCCTGTGTCCTGAAAATGTAAGTGAGGGTGATTAAATGCTGCGGACAAAGTTTCAAGGTACTGTGAGGTTTGGGCTATGGAACGGTTCTTTTCAATGCTCTTAGTTATACCTACGGTAAGAGAAAGCTAAGGCGTGTGCTGGTTGACAAGAAAGGAGCATGAGAAGGTCTAAAGTTGGAGATGTGAGGGGTGGAAAGAGAGCAGCTGTGACTGCATGGGGGGATTAAATTGGTGTCGTTGAAGGGAAATGTCTCATTCTGTATTGGGACAATAAGAAAGGTGACCTGAAAGAAAGAACTCACCTAGCAAAGGCTCCAGTACATGAAAATGCAAAATCATTGATAGAGGAGAACCTGGAATGAGAATGATTCTTCTTTTTTTCTTTTTCTTTTTTTTTTTTCATCCTGGTGTGATCGGACACAGATGGCCTAGGAATTGAACCCTGGGTCCTCTTGGAACATCAGTCAGTGCTTTACACCTCTGAGCTGTCTCTCCTGTTTTGAGAATGACTCTTGATTAGAAACAACCACACAGGGAAGTGTTTCCTCAGGTTCAGGCACCGGCATCCATATGGGCTTGTTTCAGCTGTGGTAGAAGTGGCAGACCCTATCTCAAGCTGATAGCAAACGCAGCAGCAATATCTACACAGCTGTTTTCCTCACTTGCAAGGATTGTAGGGCTGTGGGGTCTTTCACTGAGGTTCCACAAAGACCAGGCAATGTGTGGCAGGGTCAGATGCCCTAAGAGGCCTTTGAATGGAGCTGTAAAGACCAAGCCTGAATTACAATGGACCCCAGGATGTGGGAGATGCCAAGATCCATTGCAATAGAGAGGTCACATGTACCCCAGGCAGCAGAAATGGAATGTCAGGGCTCCCCAAACCTGGTGGAACCCTGGGGGTGCTGGTTCAAGCCCCAGACGATACATGTGGAGCTGCAGGATTTCACACTCCCCCTGCTGGGTTTTGCTCTTATCTTCCACGTTTCTATTCCTCTTGAATGCAATGTTTAATCTGTGCCATTGTATGTCAAGTTTGTAACTCGTTTATTATTAATGTAATATCTTTTATTTTACAAGAGGTCACAGAGAAGAAACTAAGTCTCAGTGGAAATTCTGCACTTTTGAACAATGTTGGAACTCTAAAGGCTTGGGGACTTTCAGAGGCGGATGGTTTGCATGTTGCACCATGAAGTGAACCTGATTTAAAGTGATGTGTTTAGGTTCCAAGCTTAGCAAAGGACAGACTAGCCTTCACTGTCCACTTGGCTGCACTTAGAATTACCTCAGAGACACACACCTCAGACATGCCTGTGAGGGTTTTCCAGAGAGGTTTTAATAAGGAGGGAAGTCCCAGGGGCTGGGGTCCTGGCCTAAGTCAAAAAGGAAATGGGTGGAGCACCAGCATTCACTGCTCTCAGCTTCCTGACTGAAGATGCACTGTGGCAGCGGCCTCATGCTTCTGCTGCTGTCGCTGAGAAGGCTTCCACTGCCCCACCTTCTCCACTACGGCAGACTGTGTGGACCCTCCGACTGTGGAACAAAACAGACCCTGGCTTTCTTCAGCTTCTTCACTAGGAGGAGGCCAAAGAGCCATGGTGAGAGGTATTCTCTAAAACTACGAAGGATACCAAAGGATTTAGGACGCATGGAATAACACACCTCTCAAAGCCACACAGGTTATTTTGAAGATTTATTTTTAATTGTGTGTCTACATGGAGGTTGTTGCCCCTATATACAGTTGTCCTTGTAGGCCAGAAGAGGGTGTCACAGTTTTCCTGGAGCTGGAGTTACAGGTGGTTGTGACATGTGGGTTCTAAGAATCAAATTCAAGTCCTCTGTGAGAGCAGCACATATTCTTAATTGCTGAGCCGTCTCCCCAGGTACTACCCAAGTCATTTTGATGTTGGTTTATACAATTTAAAAAAATTGAAATTATTTAAATAATAGGTATGTGCAAGGCACGTAGTACAATAGCAAAGTCTCCATCCTTTGCCTCCACTTCTATTCATTTCTAATTCAGAACAGGAAATGAGAAAGCACATTAGGTCAATAATGATGATCTAATTAATAGTCAAACTAGAAGGAAGTTCATTTGAAAGCAGGTTATACAAAGAATATGAAATGCCTAAGCTGTCTATCAACCTATGCACTTACTGTTTGGGGTCTCAGCCAGTGTCCCTTCTAGTCCTCAGACTTAGCTCTGTAACATGGGGCTTTTTTCTTAGGACCTTTGACTCTGCTTTACAGTTTGCCTATCTATATGAAATACACAGCAAATAACATCCCCCTGGTTCTCGTGAAGCGTGATAGAGTAACCAGCCCATCAGACGCTTGGTTCCGCACATTTGTGTCCATGATTTTGTTTTGTCTTTAAAATCTACATCTGACCAGATTCTAAGTGGCCAGAAAAGAAAACAACTCAGCCAGGGAAGAAATCAAATCAGCTGGCTGTGAGCTTTCCCCCACATTCTAGGAAGTCTTTGCTTTGCCACATTAATTTCTTCATGAAATACTCATAGGCTTGCTCATCCCTTATGAAGCTGTCTGGGAACCCCGGAGACAAAAAGCATTCTCTGTGTTCCATAAAAGGCTACCCTGAGGTAATGGACACATGCATGCTCATGCAGGCAATTGAAGAGCCCCTGATGGTTGACAGAGGAATGAAAAGTTGTAGCTCTAGCTAATTCTAATTGGTCTTAATAATAAAAACCCGGAGTCAGATACCAGGGTGAAAGCTGAAAGATCAGAGAAGCAGAGCAGCAGCCACTACAGAGACTTCTTACCTCTAGGAATCCTCAGACTGAAAGGGCTGAGCTCCTGTCTCCACATTGCCTTATCACTTCCTCTCTCCACCCAGCCATATATATCACTTCCTGTTTCCTCCTCACTAGTGCTGGGATTAGAAAGTGTGTGCTTCCCAAGTACTGGGACCAAAGACATGAAATCCCAAGTGCTGGGATTAAAGGTGTGTGCCATCGCTGCCTGGCTAGCTCCATACTCTGATCTCCAGGCAAGCTTTGTTTGTTAGAGCACAAACAAAATACCACCACAAAATGGCTGGGGAAAAACAGGTCACGTCAAGGGCGGATCTCTGCTTCTGGGCCTGACTTCCACAGCTGAGCACCCTCTCTGCCTTCCTCCTCCTCTTCCATTTCTCTCAAGAACACCTTCACTTGCCTCCTGTCACGGATGCCGCAGGGCTCAGGTAGCCAGGGGCTTTTCCATAACCCATTCTCAGGCGAATCATTGGAAAAGAGGGATAAGGCCTGCACTGAATGCTCAGAATAACCAGTTTCGGGAAAGCACTCCAGTGGCTTACCTTGTGTTCTCAAGGACAACCTC